CTGGCTTGCATCCATAGATGCTTCTCAAGCAAATCCCGGGAAGTCATTCTCCCCCTGTACTTGGCCTTGGTGAGGCCACAGCTGGAGTACTGCGTCCAGTTTTGGGCTCCACAATTCAAAAAGGATGTGGAGAAGCTTGAGAGAGTCCAGAGAAGAGCCACGCGCATGATCAGAGGTCAGGGAAGCAGACCCTACGATGACAGGCTGAGAGCCCTGGGGCTCTTTAGCCTGGAAAAGCGCAGGCTCAGGGGTGATCTGATGGCCACCTATAAGTTTATCAGGGGTGACTACCAGTATCTGGGGGAACGTTTGTTCACCAGAGCACCCCAAGGGATGACGACTAGGTCGAACGGTCATAAACTACTACAAGACCGTTTCAGGCTGGACATAAGGAAGAATTTCTTTACTGTCCAAGCCCCCAAGGTCTGGAACAGCCTGCCACCGGAGGTGGTTCAAGCGCCTACATTGAACACCTTCAAGAGCAAACAGGATGCTTATCTTGCTGGGATCCTATGACCCCAGCTGACTTCCTGCCCTTTGGGCAGGGGGCTGGACTCGATGATCTTCCGAGGTCCCTTCCAGCCCTAATGTCTGTGAAATCTATGAGTTGTCAAATTTTTAGTAACCATAATGTCAAAGGAAAGTTGTAAAAAGAGCTCTGATGGAGAACAAGGAAATGGCATCACAAATATTTATTGGAAGCTCTTCCACACACGGGAAAAAGCACAAAACTGCTTATTTAAAAATTGAACAAGTTGACAACGTAGGAGCCCAGGTCCTGCTGACTGTCCACCAGACTTAGGCTCCTAAGTCATTTAAGTATTTTTGAAAATTATAACCAAGATGACTACTTGAAATCCACTCAGGCGGAACTCTCAGCTGCAGTTAATAGACTTACTTGTACACATACCCATTGTGGAAATAGCCAATATTGGTCATAACAACTTTGTTCCTTATTATGCACTATAGAACATTCAAACTCAAGGACCAAAATGTATGTAAGGTTAAGAAAAATTATAAAATCCTTTAGTAGCTGAACAAGTATAGAAGTATAGGGTATTTGAATGACACAGTAGATTTATACTGCCTGTTTTCCATTCTACTCCAGAGATGTTATTAAATTGTCTGTAAAGTGCTCCAATATACAGAGGCGTGACAAGGAAAAGATTAAGTAGTGGATAATGTGACCACAATTTAAAGTAACTATTGTAGTGATTTAACTTCCTAAGCATAATTCAATTAATATTGTCCAGGATTAGCCAAAATTGATACGGCTGTGTTACAGGATTGGCAGAAAGGATACCAGAATTACTACTGCCTATACATCATCTCAGCAAGACAGCAGTGCACCTAGTCATCTTGAAATGATCATACAAAGTACAGCAGTTACCCCAGAAGGATAAAGAATATGAGCATTTGTTTCAGAAAAGACAGTCAACCAACAGGAAAGCTGTGTAGATGAGAGGCCAAAACATGCATCAGGATTGCTAGGCTACAGACTCACATTAACCACTGACTTTCTGGGGAAAATTATTTCAGTTCTCTCTGTAAAATAAGGATGCTTATACTTCTCTATTTCACAAGGTGTGACAAGACACAACTCATTGTTGTCACACACAATTAATTTGCTGTTGTGAGCTAATTAAATGGTATAGTGATGAAAACCAGAGGGATGCCTACTCAGTGGTACAATTATTTCTGTGAATTGTCTTTGGTAAAAAGCAAGGCTTTGTTGTAAGCAAAATGTTTCATCTGAGCAGAAATGTCCTGGAGGAATAGATGCTGCTGCCAAGTGACTAGCTCAAAGCCAGTGATTCAAGAGTGGAAGTATTAGGCTCCTTGAAGCAAAAATGTCAGGCTTTATAAATAGTCTATTTTTAGAAGGCTGAATAGAAGCTAAGGACAACAATGATAAAAGATGAAGGAGACCCATCTCTGTTTCTTCCATTTCATTCAGCTGATCTTTGATATATTTCTAAGCACGTTTTCAAACCTCTGAAAATATTTTAAGGCAACGAGATTCTTTTGTTGCTCAGTTACTAAGAACCTTAACTTATGCTAAGTTAGAAACTAAAGCAATTCTCTTGAAATACACACAAGTCATTCTCACCAGCTGAGAGACATTCATGAACATTTAAAATGCCAAGAAACTTCAAGAGGTTTTAGACACAAGCTTTCTTGAATTACATTTAATCTTTAATAGGTTCAAGATTTTAAGCCTACCAAGTCCTAATTACTTCAGCATATACTAATTTTTTTTAAAAAAGAAATCTGTATACAGTCATTGGAATAGTTATGCTATACAATAACATCAGAGTAGAAATATACTCTGATGAGAAATCATATGAACATGCTTCTATAAGACTATTTAGCAGTTTTTGTTCGCAGCCGTCGCTTCATGATTAAGTGATCGCTTTCCTTTTCCTTCTGATCCATAACAATCTGAAAAGGGGACATTTTGCAAGATATTTTAGCTTTTCCTCTGAATAAACTGCTTAATACAAACAATTCCATGTCAGCATCACTCCATAGATAATTCCGTATTCAAAACAAGGATCATGATATAACCACTTCTAATGTTCCTACATGCTATTTTCAAAATATGTTGTAAAATAAAACCTCTGAATGGTAGATTCATAATATTCATAGCTCAGCATTTATACATCTTTACATAAAAGTAGTTCATGACCAAAGTGAGAGGAAGTGTTAGGATGTGTCAAATTCAGTTTGCACCAAAGTTAAAGGGGAAAACAAGTTTTAAAAGCATAGAAACAATTCTGATGTGAAAGTTATTTTCTATTCTAACTTTCTATTACTAATTCCATGAAACACAGTACAGTAAAATCTGTTATCCGGCATCCCTGGGGTAAGGGGATTGCCAGTTATGTAAAAATTCCGGTTGTATGAAAACCCCCAGCAGGCCACACACGGAGTGGGGTAAGGGACATGCGGTGGTGGTTGCCTGCGGAGTGGCAGCAGCTGCAGGCGGAGCGGGGGTAGTGCAGGGTGGTAGGAGCCACTGCCCCCACATGCAACCTATCCCCTGCCCTCCCAGCCAGAAATTCCAGTTAATGAAATTTCCAGTTAGTTAAATGCCAGATAGCGGAGATGTTACTGTATTAAAAAAAACAAACAAAAAAAAAACATAACCACCAAGTTTAATCTTCCCTTGGTTGTCTCATTCCGCTCTCCTCTCCTCTTCCTTTGCAAGTTCCTTTGGCATTTCTTACCCACTTATTTCAATTTCCTTTTCTCTAACTCGTCAGGGATCCAGTGCAGTCTGCCTTCTATCCCCTCCATTCAGGCTGTTTTGAATGTGATAATTTACTTGCCTAAGCACTTGTGGAATTGAGGCATAAGGATGAGTTCTCATGCTCACTCTGCACAATTTACCACATTTACCTGAATACAAGATTCTCCCCCTCATAATTAGATTATACGCATGGAAATTTATAAATCTATTATAATTTTCCATGTATGGAATCTAATCATTGGAGGATCATCTTAAATTCATCTCCCCCACACACTACTGCGGGTGGTGGGGAGGAGAGGTGATGAGGGAGGCAGTAATGGGTAGGGACCTACTGAAATCGTGGTGAAAGTAGAATGCAGCTCCTTTAATCTTGCAGTTTCCCTTGAGCGCCCTTTCACTGCTGACTGGCAGAGAAGCCCTACCACTCACTGTTCACTCCTGATGGGCAGGGACGTGAAAACCACAGTTTCAAATATGGTGCAATTCTTCCCAGCCAGTCAGCAGCAAGTGGTAGGATTGCTGGGACCCCTTAGCCAATCAGCGGCAGGAGGCAAAAACTGTGCCATATTTAATATAGTGGTCTTTGCCTCCCCACCAATCAGGAGTGAGCAGTGAGTGGTGAGGCCCTTCCACCAATCAGCAGTGGGGGAGCGTGCAAGGGAAACTGCAAGATTAAAGGGGCTACCACGCAATAGGAAGGGTATGCAGTAAGGGGGCAAGCAGTGTAGAGGCAGCTGGACAGGCAGTGAGAGAGGCAGGCAGTTTGTCACCTACCACCTGCCCTCCCCCCATTTAACCCCTATTGTGCCTGTCTCCCTCCACCCCCCCCCACCCAAGAGCCTCAGACTGCCCCGATCCCCAATTCCCCCCCATCCACAGCTTCTTTCCCCCAGAGCCTCAGGTCTCCACCCCCCTTTCTCCTGTCTCTCCCCCTGCTGAATTCTCTCCTCCCTGTCTGCCCCTCCACAGCCCCCTCCCGTTACCTGTTCCTGTTGCAGCCTGGGGCACAAACCATGGCTCCAGCCTGGCTGCGTAGCAGCAACACACAGCTGGCGTTATGGCTACAAGCTGGGCTGGAGCATGTGCTCCATGCTCCAGGATGCAGCAAAGACAAAGCCTCCCAGTACAGAGCAAGAGTAAGGAAGCTGAGGCAGAGGGGGAGAGAGAGGAAGAAGCAACATGGGGGGGAAGACCGGGGGCTGCAGGGGAGGAGTGGCAGAGCGTGTCAGGTGGGGACAGCTTTGTCCAGCTGGGTGTTAAAAGCCTCCAAGGATGGAGATTCCACAACCTCTTTGGGTTACCTGTTCCAGTGCTTTACTACCCTCCTACCTAGGGGGGTACAGATAGAGATTTTTGGGGTCGATACCAATAGACGATTTTTAAGGAGGCATATTGAATGATACCGATCCAATTTCCATTACCAGCCTGGTAGCTTGAAGAGCAGTGTCCAGCTGGTATGTCTGTTGTGGTGGAAGGGGAGGGAAGGGGCAGATCAAAGTCCCCACGATGAGGGAGGGAGTGGGTCTGCGACAGCGGCTGCCCAGGCAGGGCGGGGCAGGTGTGGGACAGAGCCA